AAAAAAAAAACAGAGAAGTTATCACATTGAAGATATAAAAAAGAAGCAGTAAAGAGAAAAATATTGGGCTATTAGACACTGTGCGCGTAAACGTGTAGATGCGTTTATCAATTGTTTTTTCTCCTAAAAAAAAAATAATTAGTGCATCAATAATAATGTTATAGACGCGCAGAGATAAACTTAAACAAAAATAACTGAACAGAAGTGTACACTATATATATATACATATACTATATGTAAAAAATTTTATACGAAGAACAAATAAGAACTGAAGAAATTTTTGCACAAAATGTGCAAATAATAACGTTTTTAAACAACTGTTCCCAATAATTAATTAACATAAACAAATTGAATAGTCTGAATATGAAAACAGTGTAAGTAGAAACACGCATACTGGCAACAACAAAAGAAGAAGGACATTGGCGATTGATTTGAGAGTTAAATTGGTCTCTCATTCTCATACATAATAGTAATAATAATAATAACGATAATAAAACAGATAGAATGCAGAAACTGAGCAAAAATAAATAGAATCATTTCGTACTTCGTTGACAATGAATGTGAAAATGAGTTCATGCATCACCACTAATATATAAAATATTTGGATCACCTAGAAAAAGAAAAATTTTAACTTGATAATCATGCAACAAGAATGATAATTCTTTTCCTATTAACTATCTTAGTTCATTTTCAAGTGTTTAAAACTTTCATTATTTTCTCGCTAATAATAGTCGTAGCATTATAACTCAAAACGTTGTCATTAATGAAAATCTAGCCTCTATAAGAATTGTGAATTAGACCAGATAAAATTTATGCTGTGCGATCGTTGACACGTTGAGGAGTACTGTGCCTGAATCTATCACATTAAAATTGTACTGAACACATTTTTGTTTTACAACCGCTTTTTCGTTACAGAAAAGCTCAAGCCTTAAAAACTTGAACTGGTCGTTACTATGAGCGCAGTCCTCGAGACTGCCTTTCTGTAACTTTTCTCTCAACATAGTTGAGAATATATACGTCAGACGTCACCGAAATAATTAGATGAGTACATCCTCAGTAGCGGTCACCAATCCACTTACTAATCGTCGTTCTGACGCTTAACAAGAGAAAAGACAAATTCATTGTCACAATTTCTTTATGAGTTAAGCGCCAGAAAGACGATTAGTAAGTGGATTGGTGACCGCTACTGAGGATGTACTCATCTAATTATTTCGGTGACGTCTGACGTATATATTCTCAACTATGTTGAGAGAAAAGTTACAGAAAAGCAGTCTCGAGGACTACGCTCATAGTAACGACCAGTTCAAGTTTTTAAGGCTTGAGCTTTTCTATAACTAAAAAGCGGCTGTAAAACAAAATTTATTTAGTTCAAATAAGTCGGATTTAAAATATCAAAGTCAAAATCATACTGGTTTCAAAACAATTACCTTTCGTATATCTGTCAATAGTTTCTGACCATCTATTCGCAAGATAACATGTAATGTCATCCAAATTAAATTCTCCACGCTCTTGTCTATAAACAATTTGTAACACATTTGACATAATTCGACTTGAGCTCGATTGTTGTGTTGATGTCGCTGGCGTGTTATGAGAATTACTTTCAACCGATAATTCACCAGTAGAATTATTCTGTTGTTGTTCTTGTTGAATTGTTCTATTATCATCAATATCCATATCATCATCGATTTCTTCTTGACGTTGTAATTCGGATAGAGACGAATCATCATCGTTCGTACTATTATCAGTTAATTTTTTTGTATTTATCAACTGAGTCAGAACTTGAATATCAATTGGTGCATTACTCAATTGTCTCACTTCCATAATTAATGGTTCAGTTGTTGTAGCAGTAGGAGGGGGTTGTGGAACAATGACAGGATGAAGTGACGGTGGTGCGGCCTGTAAGGAATGATAGGTGTGAACGTATGGTGAATAAACATTTTGAAGTGATGTGGGAAATAAATGAGCGGCATTTGCTGGCACTGGATGGTATAAAGTAAACATTTGTTGCTCGGATCCATCAGGCATTGAACACATACCTCCGTTAGCTGACGAAGATGATGATGAAAGTGACGATACAGATGTGGCCTTTTTCATATCTTTCCCTGTTGAATAAACTGGAAATTGCATTGGATACAATGAACCATTTGTAGTACACGCATTTGTTGCAACTGGTATCGTTGAGTAAATTAATAAGGGCTGATCTAGTGTTGTGTTACTTGGCAACATTTGCTGTGTTATTCTTTCGTCTCCTACGATTTCATTGTCTTTCAATGTTTTTTCATCAATATTATCATCTTCATTTTGACAATCATAATTCAACATTGATGGATCCGGATATAATTGAGGTTGCGATTGATAAGCTTGTTTGTCGTAAGGAACTAGTACAAATTGCGTTTGTGGATGAGCTTGTGCGTAGCTGTTAAAATGAATCTGAGCCGATTGTTGTTGC